AAAGGAGGCAATCCGAGGACATAACGCATCTCTGGGTGTATTTCTGGCTCACCATGTGACAGCAACATTTTCTAGGCATAAACCACAACGAGCAAAGAGGGATTCATGTCCTAGAGTGCTGCTGTCCTGCGGGAGCAGCCCCGCGCCCGCGCATGGGCGCATTCATTCCTGGGCTTCCTCAGGGAGATGGGGAGGTTTCTGTTGGAAGCGGGGTAAATGCCTCCCCAGAATATTTCTGCAGAGATCCTTGCAAGAGAGTGATTAAAAATACTAAGCAATACCACTTCAGAGTATTTCTAATCATTCTTTATCTTTCTTTCACTCAGTCTAGACTTTAAATTTTAATATGATTGTTATTAACCTGCCCTATAGTCCTTGAACGAAAGTAGCTCTCAATGGCCTTTTAGTTCCTGTCCTGGTGGGTTGGGACCTTCGCTGCGCACCGCGTTCTCTCTGTAGGTGGCATCGTCAGAGGTGACAAATACCCTTTTTGTGGAATGTTCCATTTCCGGAGTTGCAGCCTCTGTGCCACATCCATCAGGGACTCTATATTTCATTTAGTTAAATAGACTTAGGAGAATCTACTAAGGAACCTACAGTCAGCTGGTATTGGAGATAAACATAAAAACCCCTTTTGCTCCGATTTTATTGCCATCTAATTAGGCAGCCAAGGAGTAAACAGACACATTTGAACGCAAGTCGCAGCCAGAGCTATTTAAAGTCATGGTACAGAGGGGCTGACATTCAGCCAGTCACACTGGTTGGTCCACACCAAGTGTTGGGTGCCCTTGTTCTGTATCTGCTGCTAAATAACAGGGTGCCACCCTCCCCCCCATCCCCACCCCGCCCCGTGTGCCAGTTGACTCCCTGGGAATGAGCTGCTGAAGTGTTTATAGCTGTTATAGCACAAGGCCCTCAGACCCTGTCCTGTGTTAAGGAAGCAGTGTGCTTGTTAATTATTTTATTTTATTTAAATATGTTTTTTATGGATTTTAGAGAGAGAGGAAGGGAGAGGGATAGAGAGATAGTGACATGGATGAGAGAGAGACATCCATGGGCTGCCTCCTACATGCCCCCTACTAGTGATTGAGCCTACAGCCTGGGCATGTGCCCTGACCAGGAATTGAACTGGTGACCTCCTGGTTCATGGATCAATGCTCAACCACTGAGCCACACTGGCTGGGCTGTTAAATATTTTGAATAAATAAGATAGATCTAAAGACAGGGCTTAGTAAGGAGACCAGAGGAGGACACGACCAGGCCTAGAGCTCTGAACCACTGTGCCTCATCTCAAGGTGCCCACTGCATTGGTTTCCTTCACCAACGACTATTGAGACTAGTCTTAGGCAAAACTGTCACCACCTGGAGACACAGAGTATAAGGAACCTGGTTGGGCCTCCTTCCTCCCCCGAGGCTTTCCTTGTCATTCTCTTTCCCTCTCTCTGGAAAGCAGAACTACCGGCAGTCCCCCCAGCCCCGATTTCCTCATATTCAGGAAATAAGAGGGCTGGGCCAGTGTCTTGGGATCATGATGACTACGTGGAGAACAGTAACTTTAAAAATCAGCGTAAGGACAGCAGTACACCGTGACCTGTTACAGGCATTTGTCATTGATACATTAGACATTTACACAGATAAGGGCGTTTCCTTGTTTTCCAGCTCACAATACCTTCATTTGTAGCATTTCTGGATTCTAACCAGAGCAACTGGCTGGAGAGCACAGGAGGGCATCTTGGTGACTCTTCATAGGACAGAGGCTTTGCCCCTCACACCCACAGCTCCCAGCAGAGGTACAATGTGCTCAGTGACTGTTTTGAATTCTAGAGGTTGAATTTGGTGTTCTGTGAATCAATAGGTGATAACAGAATACTAGCACTAATCATGGCTGATATTTCTTGAGTGCTTTCTACATGTTTGCATATATTATCTCACTGAAACCTCACAACTACTAGTATGTTCTAGATAGATACTATCATTATCTCCATTTTGTAACTAAGACAACTTAGGAAGGAGAATTGAAATACCTTGCTCAAAGTCAGAGTTTGAAATGGTGATGCTTGGGCTTAAACCTAGAGTTCTGTAAGGAAATTAGTTTAATATTCTGCAATTAAGACTAAAGCTGAAAAAGGGGAGAAAATGAAATGCTATTACCTCAAGAAATGCCTATGACATTATTTGCACCAAATAGGTGCCATATAACTTAAGATTAGTAGAGTTCTTTAGAAACTTACCAACTTGCATGGAAGAAAGAAAATCATTGTTTTCTGATATTCTGCAAAGAATGTACCTGACTATTTCTCTAATGGAGTGAAACATATAAACCAAAGATCAATTGACTCCATGTGTTCAGTGAGCATTTACTATTCCAATTCTACAGAATCATTTGCCTTTGGCACAAAAGGAGCAAAAATTCTTGCCCCTGTGACCTGATAGCTTAAGGACAGATTTTATTCATGGTAAAACATAAGAGTTTTACCTGCTGGTTTTTCTTTAAGATTAATATTTCACTCTATGTTACTTTTATGCATTTAGATTCCTCAAAAAATAAATAGAATATTAAATAATAAGTACATTTATCATTAAGTTAAAATAATCTTATGATTCTTAAACTCACAAAGTTACATTTCATCCCTTTTTAAAAAAAATTTATCTGCCACTCTTGAGTAAATCTTCGTTGTAATGTGTCACGTTAAGATACTCATTAGCTTTCAGATCTTGGTGATTCTAAGGGTTTGAGAAGAATCTACATAGGAGTTTATTAGCCTGCTCTCCAGTATGTGTGTTTGATCGCTCCTCTGACTTTAAAAAAAAAAAGGAAAACGCATTAAATAGAGTTCTTTGAATGCCAATGGGTATATGATTTTTGAGCTTGCCAAGTGTTAATTGGTCTCTTCCCCAGTGGTGATACAAATACAATTTATAGCCATTTCATTTGCAGTTGTGAATCTTTTACTCCTTGACAAAGTGAACCACTAAAAAGTGAAGTTACTAGTCTCTTTCACTGCAAGTCTTTGCAGTGATCAGCTATCTTTAAGAAATATCAAGTCAAAATTAGGCTATGGATACCCATGTTCCCCAGGATGTGTTTTGGTCTTTAAGGTAGGTTAGCAGTGGTTATCAACCTTTTGGCCCTTTAAATACAGTTCCTCATGTTGTGATCCAACCATAAAATTATTTTCGTTGCTACTTCATAACTGTAATGTTGCTACTGTTATGAATCGTAATGTAAATATCTGATATGCAGGATGGTCTTAGGCAACCCCTGTGAAAGGGTCGTTTGACCGCCAAAGGGGTCGCCACCCACAGGTTGAGAACCGCTGGGTTAGTGGATGAGTTTGCATTAGAATTTTAGAAATGCAATTAGGAGACAGATGCACTATTGTAATATGTGAAATGACATAGTGAATAGAGTTGCCTCCTTTCTAATCACAGCAAGTCATTCTGCATGTCAGTGTTGGAAGATCATTTGGTATGGTTGGGAAAAGCAGCTATAACTATGCCACAATCTCTGATAAGATGCTAGAAAATGCCATGGAATGCCAGTTACAAGGCAAAAATAGCTCTCTTATTTCAAAGTAAAAAAATAAATTTTATTAAGAGTGTCACTTTGTGTCTTTTCATTGACACATGAAGATACGAATGGCTGTGACAGAAAAATTGAGTCATTTTGTAAAGGCACTGCCTAAATTTCTAACTAATTCATTATTATTAAATAGTGAAGAGCAATCCGATGTTTAATTTTGTTGCCCATGGGACCAGTTAACTGAGCTGACTCCCACCTTTGCTTGAACCTTCAAAAAATTAAAAAACAGAAACCTAATAGTAAGTACACTGTTAGCTATTAAGCAGTTTTTTGGACAAGTTGTAAATCAAGGTAGTAGTATTTTGCAATTTCTTAGATAGGGGTAATTCAGGACTTATTTTTACAAAATATCAGCTGACCCATATCTAGGCCCAAATTGCAACGATTTCAAAAATACCTCTTTCCGTATATGCGATAACGAGCAAAAATTCCAAAGGACTCAATGTAGTTTGGAGGTTAACAAGATCCACCAACCAATTGACAACTATGTTATTTGTCAAATTAAAGTTTTTCTGGGCTCCTAGGATACTGGATCAGCTAGGGTAATAGGGTCTTCATGCATCTTAGGATGTTTCCCAATTGTCATAAAAGGGTGATATTGTTCAGAGTCTGAAATCATTTGTTAACAAACAAAGGACACGGTGTCAGATGATTTTCCTCAGTAGTGTGCTCGAGGATGATGGGAGTATCTCCAGAGCATGGTACTCTCTGGCAGGCCTGTCCCCCACAGACAGGCATTTGAAAGAACACTGCATTGTATGGTGCTAATGAAAAGGCAGGATATGAGTCTGATTCATAATACTCATCAGCAATTGATAGGCTTTGTTTTAGCAAAAACAGAAAATGAAAATGAAGAGTTTGATGGAAAGCTTATAGGTTGAAATTAATTGACACTTGTCATTCTTCAAGCATGTTTTTATTCCTGGTGTATGAATATGGCTCTTAGGTATATGTCCATGATTAGATCATGGAATAGGAAATACATATGTGGAGTGCACAGGCTCACTCACACACACACACACACACACACACACACACACACACACGCATGCATACACACATACTTTTTGCATATTTATCAAAAATAGTAATACAATTGATGGTACATTTTTAAGACATACCATTTCTCTCTATGATAAGCTCCAGATAAAATAAAGCAGGATTTCTGAGTTCTTGAAAGAGAATGACAAAAATCAAACCACGCTGACTGGCTTTGTCCAGTGGGGCATTCTAATTGACTCCCAAGTCATTAATCAGTTCCCAATCAATCTATTTTGCCAGCAGCAGGCAGTTAGGACTCCATTACCAACCATTCATCATTCCATACCCTAATTCACTGCGCCATTAGCCACGGATTAGGCCTCTGTTAGAATAACTAAGTGCCAGTTGCTAAATGCAAAGAATTTTTGTTACTCACCTCTGCCACTGGGATCCCTTCAGGCGGTCGACACTGGAGCAAAACTTCCTGTTCCAAGGATACTTCCTTCCCCAGGGGTTCCTGCTCAAATGTCTTGCGTAGATCTGCAAAGCGGAGGTAATAAAATACATGACAAAACTAATCTACAATTATTCACCTATAGAAAGTGCATTAAACTTCTTCCAGTTTTTTATTTCATGTGTCTTTTTTTAAACCACATGTTGTTAATACTGTACTGCCACCTGGGTGGTTATATTCTGTGTGGTGGAAATTATGAAATTCAGAGGTTATTCACTGTTCCAACTTTAATCTTCACTGGAATGCTTTGAAGGTCACATTAACAATTAGTGAAATTCTTTCCTTGCATTTCCTTATGATGATGATGCTCAAATTTTTAATCAAAAGAACCCCATTGTCATGATTTTTATACATACAGAGTCCTTATGTACATAAATATTTTCCTCTCTCTTCACAATGAATAATATCAGAGTTATAATAACTCTGAGATCTTTTGATCAATAGCTCAAAAGCAAGTTTAAAATTAGAATGCTGGAGTCTTAAAATAATAAATATAACCTCTTGAGGTATCTCAAACATAAGGCAGAGGAAAGAGGAACTGTTCAAATGAGTCCGGACATCTCTCACTATATAATAATGTGGCCATTTCTTCAATAAGAAAATTAAATAGTCATTTCTGCCCAAATATACCAAGTACTTAGTTATGTATTTATATAGTTGTAGTTGCCATAGCAATATGGAGGCTTTTAAAAATTATTATAGATGGTCACAAAAATGTTAGAAACTAGCTTGTCATTTTAAATACCAACGTTAAAAAAATAAACGATTCAGCCATAGAGCTTTGAAGCAGCACACCAAAATTTTTATTTTATACATGTATAATTCAGCTCCTTTCAATAAAAAGTTATTGGAATTTTATCCACTTCATTTTAATAAAAATTTAATGTCTCTGTCCTTTTAACTCATATCCCTGATAAAAACTTAAGAACCTAAAAGCACCATTTTAGCCTGATGAACTAATAAGTAAAAACACCAAAGCTCTAGAGTATATACCTCTGTCTTTCATGGAGCTATCAGAAAGCACCACCTGGAAAATGCACTAAGAAAAAAAATCTATTGTTACATACTTGTCATTTTGTTGAATTTCTTGGCAAAAGAAAACCTTCAAGAGCTTAGGGATTGTGAGAAAATTATGAATGTGTGTGGGTCTGAGGTAAGACAAGAGACTGTCCAAATAGTGACAGAATTTCTGTCAGAAGGACTCTTCTCGTTGAATTGTCAAAAAATTGAGTGTATTGTAGAAGTGAGCATTGAAAATCCGCAGTTATTAAAATGGAAAGTTATCTAAGTCATGTCCTTAATTTACATATAAAGAACATGTTTACCAAATTACTCAAAGGCTCACAGCAAAAATAATGGGTGCAGCATTAGAACCTGGTGACCCCTGATTTGATACTTATTTTGCCATCCCACACATCCTTTTAACATCTCTTTTGGTTAAGCCGTGTCCTTCCAACAGAAACATTACAAATACTCCTATTCTTTCTCTTCTGATATTGTAGCTTCTCTCTTTTCAATCTGCATTAAGATAAAAATTTTGGTAAAATACTAACTACTAATAAAAGTAAGAGCAGAAACGAATACATTTTTGGGGGATAAAAGGTTCCTGACAGAGTATATCTACTTTTTGAAATATAATTCTGAAAACATCCATCTGCTGTGGGGTAGAGTGAAGACATCATGACTGGAGTTAGTTCTCAAATCATATTTTGACTCCCTTCTGGTAAAATTTATTAGCATATCACAAAATGAAGGCTGAGAATGAGAAAAAGTGAGGCACATATGTATCTAAATAGTCAAAACAAATCCCTTTAATATTTATTAATTATCTACTTAAGGTAAACACTCTACTAGGTGCTTAGGATGAAGATGTGAAAGATACAGAATCAAGACAAGAAAGGTAAGTTGAGATCTATTTATGAAAAGCCTTTCTGCCATGCGAAGGAATGGCAAACCCTAAAGGTTTTCTAAGCCAAGGAAGGGGATCAGATGTCATATTGCCCTCAGTGTGACAGATGGATTGAGACAGAAAGGACTTTGGGAACCATCTGAGTAGACCACGGGATGATCGGGTCCTCTCATAGTGGACAGAAAGAGGAGAAAGCAAATTCTAGAAATAAAGAGATCACACATTCAAAAGAAGACCTAGGTGTTTGAAAAGTGCCATGAAGCAAAGATAATACTATATTTTTAGCTATTGCAATTGTTAAGTTGGTACCATTATTAGGTACTAGTAATGAATTGAGCAGAAAAGCGAGGAGAAAAAGCAAATTAATTTTGTTCCATATTCAGTTTGGTGTGTCTGTGGGATATGCAAATGGAAAAGTCCAGTACATCCAGGTCATGATTTCTCAACCTCAGCACTGTTGATGTTTGGCACTGGGTAATTCTCTGTGCATAGTGCTTAGCAGCACCCCTGGAATCCACCCAGTAGAAGCCAGTAACACCTCTCCCAGCCGTGACAAAATAAATTGCTCCAGAAAATACTATGTCTTCCGAGAGGATAAATCAACAACACACCCAACGTGAGAATCACTGGATGTAGAGCTTGGAAAAGAAGTCAGGGTAGAAGATTTGTGCTTCGTTGTCTAGGAGATAGCTGAAGTACTGGAAACAGATGACATCACAGGGAAAAGACTGAAGCATTAAAAACACACACAAAAACAAAACAAAACAAAACAACAGGACCCCAACATTCAAGAGCTGCCAGTAAAAATGACATGGTGTGAACCAGGAAGCAGGTGAAAGAAGTAAAGACAAGTGTCAAGAGGAACCAAGAGAAAAATAAAGTTTTAAGAAGATGGGAGGTCAACAGGACAAATATAGCAAAGACTCAAAGGGGAGAAGTCATTGGTTTGGGAAATTTAGGAGTGACCGGAGGAGACTCCAAGCTGTGTTGAGGGGTGGACAGGAAGTGGGAAAATGGCCATCATGAGACACTATCGCTCTTTTGTAAAATTTTATGGTGACAAAAGTCAGCAGCACCATTAATGGAGGATGGATTTGAATGACGATTGTTATAATTTTTCTGAAAATATAGTGTGGTTTTTGGCACAGTTTTTACATTCCTGCCCTGTGAAGGCACACCTTAGGAGATCCTTGCTTCCTAATTGAGAATAATGACCATATGACAGAGGTATGTACTGCCAGAGACAGGTTTAACTGAACTATCATGGAATACCATATAATTATTTTAATGGTTTGACTTCAAACTCACTATAAATATCATCTCATTTCTAAAATGATCTCACATTTAACCCTCCACAAAGCAATCCTTCTTCCAGAAAAAAAATCCTTTTACTTCCTGCCATAAAGCTTCCTTCCTAGCTTTCAGGTAGAATAATGAGCTTAGAAAATACTGTGGTGCCCAGCACAGTAGCTGCTCATTTCAGTATGCCTCCACATTGCTCTGCAAGCAGAGGAGGGGTAATGTTTTGAGCGTATCCTCTATCGCGGGGAGATGTGATAGAAGGCAGGCCGATACCTTGCAGGCAGAGAGAACACACGGGTGACGAATGAATAAGCATGAAAAACGGACACTTGTCAGCCAGGCATTAGATGTAAAACAGAATGGTTCAGAACAATGTGGGCACTCCTGTCAGGGAAAAAGATGAATTTCAACCCTTGGAAGACCTTTATGATTCTAAATTTCTGTTTTCTTTCCATTAGTTCTAGGGCTGCTACCAAAATAAGTATAAAGGCCTTTCATTATAACCTAGATTACTTTTGCAAAGTCAACCTGCCTACCTCTGATTTAGTCATTGATTCCACCAATTAAAAGAAAAATCAGCTTTGTCATATGCATGCGTTCAGAGAGCTGTTTACTTAGGAACATGAATATTGGCTTACTAAATCCATAAAGAGATATCCAATTAGCAGATGTAGAATTAGGCCTGAAACTATATGGATTTCTATTTACCATTTACACAGTAATCAAAGAAAGGCTTTTAGAATACAAACACATGTGTGGGTGCAAACAATGTCTCATTTTCTATTAGAGAATTCTGATGCATTCAATGATTTTTTTGCACAATAATAATAATACTGCAGTTACAAATTATTTATGATGTGGAATACCTTAATTCATGGCATTCTCCGAATATGAACTCTGCTTTTAGACAATGTGGTAATTACAAAGGGAGGTTAACCAGAAGTTCAAAGACTTTGTGGCCTTCACCTTCCCCATTGGTAAAATGAAAGGGAATGACTGGATACTTTTGCAGGTCTCCTTTGTCATAAGAGCCTATGACTAACTAGACTAACATTTTAAATGTATATTTTAGGGGGGGGAGCTTATCCTTTGTTAAATACAACACATCTTGGCTATATCTTTAAGGAAATATACCAATTATCAGTGTCCAATATTAATAACAGAATAAATTATTTTTTTCAAATATATTTTTATTAGTTTTTCGAGTGAGAGGAAGGAGAGGGAGATAAAAAGAGAAACATCTTTGTGAGAGTGAAACATGAATCAGCTGCCTCCTGCACGTCCCCTACCAGGGATTGAGCCCATAACCTGGCATGTGTCCTGACCACGAATGGAACAGGCAACCTTTTTGGTGTGTGGGACGATGCCCAACTAACTGAGCCACAATGTCCAGGGCAAGAAATTATTTTTGATGCATCTTTGAAGGGAACAGCTAATAATTTTCCTTTCAGGACAAATTTCATGGAATTTTTGGACACTTGGATAGACAGGTATGGGTAAGAGTATGACAATGGGAAATGAGTGGGTTTCAGAAGATGCTGTATTACAAAAATCAGAAAATTCTTCAGACAAATCCAAGGAAGAATCACAAAAGCAGATGAATATTAAAGGTTGGATGATTATGAATGTATTTGGGATTACTTTGAGAAAACTAATTTTTGGTCTCTATGGAGAGATGGGAAAACTAATTTTTTGTTTCTATGGAGAAATGCGAAACAGCATGCAAGAAAGCCCACCATGTCAATGTGAACATTTATGAAATGGGCAGAAAATCACATCCCTGTACCGAACCAACATCCCTCAGGCTACTTTGCC